ACTATGACTAACGTGTGTTTTGTAGAGGCAATTAAGTTAGGTCATGGTAATGGTAATTGATTGGGCAATCATGATTGTCATGCCCCTATGATGGAAATTGTTTCGGTTTTCAAAGGATGGACTACAAGGTTAAGGATGGACTAGTTCTAAATGTTGTTTGGTGTTGAAGAGACACTTAGAGTAGTTTAGGACTTTGTTTTTCCTTTGGTCATACTATTAAGGGGGGTATTGACTAGTAGCTTGACCTAGGTGAGTCTAGTGGGTTAGGTGTGGTGCACACTTGTCAAATCTAGCACTAGGTATTTCAGGAGTAGCCCTAAGATCAATTGGAGCAAACTTCATTCACATATGATTTCAAGTTGGAAGTGAATGGATAGTCAAATGTTAACCGGACGTTGGTCCGGTTGTGACCGGACGCTGGCAGTAGTGTCCGATCAGTTCATTTGATCATGGAGAAGTCATCTGGTTGTGACCGGACGCTGAGTGAAAAGTGATCGGACGCTGGGCGCCAGAGTCCGATCAACTCCAGTAAGGTTCCAGAGAGGGAGAATCCTGATCGAACACGTTCGGTCAGTGCTGACCGAACGTTGGTCAGGTTTCGGTTACTGACCGGACGCTGAACAACAAAGTGACCGGACTCTGGGCGCCAGCGTCCGGTCAATATCAGTAAGGGTCCAGAGAGCAGTTTTCATGACCGGACGCATTCGGTCAGTGATGACCGGACGCATGTCAGAGTCCGGTCACAACTTAACAGCTCTGTGGCGGGGAGAACTGACCAGAGCATCCGATCACCTTGACCAGAGCGTCCGGTCACCCCATAGAACGCTGACGCAACCTCCTAATGGTTCGTTTTGAATGAGGAGGTATAAATACTTCCCCTATTCATCTAAGGGAGGCCTCTTGCCCATTTGATCAGCTGAGAAACACCCTTGAGAGTGCTATGGAGAGCAAGAGCCTAGTGAGGTGATTGAGATTTGAGAATTCAAGATTAAGGCCTCATTAGTGCAAGGAGAGTAGCAAGTGTGCATCCGTCCTTCTCATTAGGCTTGTTGTGGTCAAGTGAGAGTTCGTGCTTGTTACTCTTGGTGATCGCCATCACCTAGACGGCTTGGTGGTGATCGGGAGTTTGGTGATCATCCGGCGGAGCTTGTGGATGACCCAACTCAAGTTGTGAGCGGTTGTGGGTGATTCACCAGCGACGAAGTGTCGAAGAATCAACCCGTATAGAGCACTTGATCCTTGCACGGATCAAGGGGGAGTTACACCCTTGCGCGGGTGCTCCAACGAGGACTAGTGGAGAGTGGCGACTCTCGATACCTCGGTAAAACATCGCCGCGTTCCTTCTCCTCTCTTTACTTTGAGCATTTACATTTGAGCAATTCAATTCTTGTCTTTACATTCTTAGAATTGCCATGCTAGAGTAGGATTAGAAACTTAGAGTGCTAAACTTTTGTGCGGTAGATCATTAGAATCACATTCTAGGCACAAGAGGTGAAGTGGGCTAAGTGTAGGATTTAATTATTGCAAAGAATTTTAGAATTAGGCCAATTAACTCCCCCCCCTCTTGGGCATCTTGATCCTTTCAAAGCTAAAAAAAGGTTGCTCCACTCGTGAAACTGACTTGTACCATAAACCTTGTGCCCAAGTGCCATCACCCAGACCCTGATACTAAATATTGACTCGGTCGGGTGGGCCGGATGGGTGAGCACCTCAGCTCAAGCTCCTGGCGTTCGGCCTCGGGATCAGCCTGCCTCGCCTTGAGGCGCTCCGCCTTCTCTTGGAGATAGGTGGCCCTGAGGCTAGGAGTCATCTTCGACGGTGCGACATTGGTGCCGTCGTTGTCGACTGGATCCCCCTCGATGTGGAAACACTCGCACTCTGGGTAGTAGCTTTCGACCTCGTCGAAGTCGTCCTCCAAGTCAGCCCCTGAGAGTAGCTCGGGGAAAGTATGCATCGAGGCGATGTCGGTCCCAGTAGCGTCCGCAAGGACAACGCTTGCACTCCTCCGCTCACTAGCTGCGTCAGCTTTTACTAGAGGATGGCCGCAGCATCCCGGATCCCGCGGCGGAGATCTAGGAAGGTGCACCAAAAATGGGGAGTCGGTGGTAGCTCCTCTCTGGTGATGATTTGGTGGTGGACGTTGGCTAGAGTGTAGAACATCCGGCGCTGGTCCACCACGATGGGGTTTGAGCCCAAACCGAGGTTGGATCTATCGAGAGAGGACCTACAAGACGGTGCACAAGAGGCTACTCGGAGGAGAGGACACCAGGAGCGCAATGCCCTCCGACTACACCCCCATCAGAGGGATGGAGCTCGCCACTATAGTCAACGACGTAGTGCAGGCCCCAAAGCTAAGATCCTGGCTGGGGGTGAAGGAGCTGCCGGTGGAGAGGATCTCGTCAAAGAAGTGCACGCCGCGTTCAAAGACGACGTCTTCGGCTCTAACAGCGATGATGGCGGCCAGAGGCACCGAAGATCTATGATCACACATGATGCTGCACTACCTGGTGCGCCAATTGTGGGTTTGGAACCATGGCTAGTGATTAGCAATTTGATCGATGGGTCGATGTGTGGGACTCCGGTGGTTAAGAACTCAAGACACATGAGGATTTATCCTGGTTCGGGCATCTAAGCCCTACGTCCAGCTAACTTTTAGCAGTTAAGTATTAGTTATAGGGATCCAAACAAGCACTAAGACACGGGAAAAGTGTTGTGAAAAGAAGTCAAACTATACTTCTTTATCATTTTCTTTTTCTAAAATACGCTGCAGAGCTACATAGCCTTGCGCTAAGAAGAATTCCTGACCATTCCCGAGTACAGAAGATCAACTGAACCATTTTTTGTACCAATGCTATGTACAGAAATCCTAACCGTTAGGGTTATATATTTGGTTAAATAAATTGATGTATACATCAATCTGAACGTTTCAGCCAAGTCCGATATAATCAGATGCTTGTATCTGGCTGGGTAGAAAAAAAAGAGAGAGGATCTGCAATAGCAAATAGTTTATCCGGTGTCACCGCGTTGAAAGTGACAAGCACTTCAGCTGTTGTGTTGGCTGTGTGTGTTTACAGAGGCCGGAACGTTTCCTTCTTCAGAAAAAGAAAACATCAGCTCTGTTGTGCATCTATTATGATTTATGATAGAGGCAACAAGCAAGAAGTTCCGTCAATAATTATCAGCATTTCTAGTATTTTTAATAGGACATATTAAGGAATGGAAAGATTATGGTTCCGGAGGTCAGAAATAGGAGGCAACTTAATTTTTGAACACCAACATCACGTTTTTTTTTGGGAACAACACCAACATCACGTTGATGCAACATGCAAATAATAAAACTAATTATTAGTAATTATGAAGGGGAGAGAGAGTAGACTATGCAAGAGTTGCTTATATATGTGGATAAATTAATTTTGAATGCTAGAAATATTGTTTGTGGATGGAGGGAGTAACTTGAACTGTAATAAAATATTATTTACATTTTAAATTGTAAATCTTTTGAGCTTTATTCTAAGTCAAATGGTTTTAGTTTTGAGCAAGTTTATAGAAAAATACAGTAAAAATACAACATCAAACAAGATTCACTAGATATATCATGAAATATTTTTTAGTAGTGCAATTATTTAATATTATAGATGTTAATATATTTTTCTATAAACTTGGTCAAAAAATTTCTCATACAACACAAGAGTTGCGTGTCATTTCATTTAAGAATAAAAATAATAATATACGGAGAGATAAAAGAGGCCTCTCCAAGACCCAACCTTACATTACATTAGCACATATTACAAAATTGAAACGGAATATGACCTCGACCAGAAAAATATCTACGTACTCCGTACTTAGGACAAAACGTCCATAAGAGCAACCAAAAAGGAGTTCGTTAAGTGTTGAGGCTCCAGCAAAGCATCAAAGGTTGATTGAGGCAGGACAGCAAACAAGCGCAAATTAGTGAAATGCGCGGTACCGACGCATCATATCGTACGTGTCAGTGTTGCCTGAAGCCATTACATTGTTTACTGTGTAGTACATCATATTGCATTGCATGCATTCATGCATTTGCGTTGCTGGTCATGCATGATCACCACGCACAGTGGCCAGTGACAGAGTGGCCTTTACTGAAAGACGACAGCAGGAGCTAGGACGTACGATATATATGATGGATCCGAGCAAAGCTAGACGCTAGCTGCACGCCTGAGCTTCACCATTCCATTCTCAGCTAAACTCACACATCACGTACACCTCTAGTGGAATCACCTCTGCTGGAGCTGAAGCTGAATGCTGAAAGCGATCCATCGACCGCTCAGATCAACTCGATCACGTACACCTCTAGTGGAATCACCTCTGCTGGAGCTGAAGCTGAATGCTGAAAGCGATCCATCGACCGCTCAGATCAACTCGATCAGAAGCCTGTGTGTGCCGTGGCCGGCCACGCCACACCTCTGTATCCATCGTCCGTCCATGACCCATGCATGCATGGACCCCACCATCCAGACGTAGTCCATCATTCAATGGTAACACTATTTTGCACACATATTTGCTTTTAGGCATCAGTTTAGGAGGGCATGCATGCATTTTGAACTCAATCTAGGGACAACAGTAATGTTCATTTCGACAATTTTGATTTTACTGATTTTTCAATAGAATATAGTTTTATAGTCATCGTACCGTAATAGCTTGTTTGGAAGGCCGGTATTTAGTCAAAAACACTTGTAAATTACAGGTCTGAAAATTTTTACAACCCAAATCTAAATTGGTTGTTTGGATGACTAGTGAGCACATTTATTTTACATTTGGATTGAGTCAAAACCAGTGTAAAATAATAAACTCCTCCTCAGGTCTGGAAAAGAAAGAATCTGTCTACTCAACATTCAGTTGATTTTGGGCTCCCTAGCAACCGGTTGTTTCAAAGCCCCAAAACAACCGAAAAACAAAAAAAAGAAAAAACGGTTGTTCCAAACCAATGAAACAACCGATTTATAAAACCACAGGATCAACATCTAACAGCTTCTGTGCTTTGCTGTTGTAGGCCCAAAAATTGAGAAAGAAAAGGCCCAAACAACAAAAAGGCACTGGCCCAAAAGCTCTATTGATTCACCCAAAGACGGGTATGTAACACTAGTCTTGAATAGCTTAACACCCTCAAAGCTACATAAAACAAAAGATACACATAAAAACCTACATGACAAATAGACAAAAAAATAATATACAAAAATAAAAATGAAAAAATTATGTACCAGCTCCATTGGCTGTGAGCAAGACCACAAAAGACTTTATAGTAGCGCATCTCAGTTTCAGACACATTAAAACGACGAGAAGATTTTTGATGCTTGAGACTATGATCTGCACAATACACAAAACGTAAGGGAAAATGAAAAGCCACAGCTAGACAAAATAGACCAAAAATAAACATGAAATGGAAACAGCATAAGTCCACATAATTTTAATTATATGAAAACTGAAAATAGAATAAAATGGACCACAAATGAGCCTGAAATCAAAAACCTCGATTCTACAATAATGAAAATGAACTAAAACTATCTTAAAATGAACCTGAAATAAAGAACCGAGATTCTAAAAAAGAAAAAATGAACTATAACTGAAATAGAGATTCAGATTGATTCTTGCAAACAACAAGATTCTACGGTACTGAACCTAAAATAAAAATGACAAGAACTGAACCTAAAATCGAAAAAACTGAACTAACTGAAACTAAAATCTATGCACTAAACTAAAACTCTGAAAACTAAACTAAAATAAAATTTACAGAACTAAATCTGTAATCAAACACAACTAAAAATGAAAAATAGACTATACTAAACAATTATAGAAACATTTCACCTTCAACTACATGAGTCATGTTATTGGTCATCTGGATGTTCAAATTCTTTTTGTTGTACAGTTGGTCAGCTAATTCTCCCATGTCCAAGGAACGACCTTTGGATTTTGTTTCCTTAAAAATATAGACATCAAGAAAACCTGCCCACAACCCATACAATAAATCTCAAAATAAGAAAATATAATTTCAACCATGACCAATAGCTTAATTTAACATATCAAAAAAAAGATCCCCGCCTAATTATACAGAACTTACATCATTGATAGGGTTTGGAATTGAAGCTTGTAACGATGGAACTGCTGGTAGATGAAGTTCGCTAATGAAACGATTAGGCTTCGATTTGGGATTCATCGGCATTGCTGGAGCTAAAAAAATACACAGTAAATACAAATACTAGAAACTAATAATAGTTAATACAAATTTCATATGAAAAAACACAAAAAGAAATACAATACCATGCTGCGATGATACAGATGTATTCCTACTAAACTCCCTCCCAAACAAGAATGCTGGTATGTCGAGAATAGGAACATGATTTGCCTTGACTTGGTTCTGAAAGCTTTTAGTAGCTTCAATTCCATTGTATATATTCTACCCAAGAAATTGAACAAAAATAGATTCACATGAATTAATGATTTGAATATAAAAATATATAAATTAAAAGAAAAAACCAGAAATACGCACATCTGCAGAATGGAGACCTTTATCTGATGCAGCATACTTTTCATTTTCGCCATTTGTGCTTGGGGGCTTCTCATGAACTATGTCTGAAAACATTTAAAAATAAAAAAAATGCTAAAATGCTTATTAATGACAACAACCCAAAATCCAAAAGAAAAAAAAGCATAATTGCACAACATATTCAACATAAAGTTTCTATACATGCCTGAAGCTGGTGGAGCCTTTTTATTCATAGAATTAAAGTTAGCATCATGATTGTTGCAAACAGGTGCATTACGGCAAGCATGGCTACTGTGTGCTACTTGAGAAGTGTGGGTTTTCTTCCCCAGGTTTTGAGATGCATCATGAAGGATCTGTAGAACACTGAGCACTAAGCTTTCTGCTGGCAGACAACAGTAATGGCACTTCCCATATGAATTATCTTGAACAAGGTTGCATAACTCATCAACAACCTAATACAAAAATATAATAAACTTAACAAAAAAATAAAAGAAGATGACAATAGGTAAAATGAAACGAAAAAAAACTTACATCAGAAGGCAAATGCTCTCTGAAATATGTTGTAAGCTTCTCCTTGAATGCATTTCTTTTGAAGGACTCCTAGTAAATTTAAACAAAACAATATAAAAAACACATATAAAAACTTACAAAAAAAACAAACCTCATTCTCTTCATGCAGATTGAGTTTGGTTTTATCAGGGAGCTCCTGGACATATTTTACTTTCTAAAAGAATAGTCAAAAACAAAAAAAAATCAACTTCAAATCTAAGTAGATATGAATTGAAAAGCAAAACTAACATACCTTCTCCTTACAAAAGTTAATGAACTTTTGCATCATTTCTAAATGAGCTTCCATCAAAACAACCTGAAAAATAAATAGGCAAACAAAAATAATAATAATAATAAACATAAAAGAACAGAGTAACTACATAAATAATATACTTACACTCTTATCATCTTCAAAATCTTCAAACCTAAAAAAGTTGTTATACTGCCCTAATCGAACAGAAAATGAATTACCACCATGGTCCACGGGGCTCTTCCTTTTCGTAGCCATCTAATTCATAAACAAAAAAAAAACACTTCAGGCATCAGGTCAACATCATGCAAAGCCAGGGAGCAAGCTCAAAGTCAATGGGTGCATGCCCTAAAATATAAATTCTAAATGATTTGAAGTTAACTAGTACTGATACAGGCTATAGAATGCAATCCTCAGAAAGAGCAGCAGACAAAAACCGAAAGTACTCAATAAGCAATAGCAGAAAATCAATCTAATTCAGGGTACTATAAATCATTAACTAGCAGCCAACTAACATGCGTTGAACAAAAAACTCATGTGCAAGCAGCTAAGAACAAAAAAAAACTAGAATAGGGAGGATCCACTTATTCTGAATGAATGAGAATAGGCATGGTAGTCAGCTTGCTTGAAAAACATTACAACTTTGTAGTAAGAAAAATAGATAGGGAAACATTTTGGTAGTATGAAAATAGCATGGCTCATAAAAATTGAATACAGATTGACTTGCTCTGAATGATAATGCAAACATGTAGCTGAACAAAGTAAATATTGATGATACTAGCAGGCTGACCGAAACACTAGCAAGAGAAATATAGCTAAACGTACAAAGACGATTAGAAACCAAGTATTGATTAATAATGAAAAGGACTACAGCTAGATTGTAGATCTAAACTGACAAAATGGTTGAGAGAATAATGCCTGAACTTCATATGAAATAGCTGCTGCACCAAGTTTCTGAATAGAGACCCAACGGTGAGGAAGGGAACAAAAAATAGTAGTAATTGCTGCCACTTACTGCTGATCTGAAAACCAAAAAAATAAGCTTTGAGCTGCTGAACTAAAAAAGAGCAAATCACATAAACTGCAGTTCTTGCAACCTGGACAGAGATACAGAGAAGGCAAAAATAGAAAAAACAAGGAACTGAACTCAAAATAAATAAGCTACCTGCTACCACAGTTCTACTACTACGAATATAAAACTAGAGTAAATTAATAACTAAATTGACGACAAAACTAGTTTATTTCTGTTGCAAAACGAAGGAACCGATCCGAACGAATTGAAAGCACTGGCCCCAGGCCACGTACGGCCATGCAAGAACATGCACGCATGCATTAACTAAAAAATTCCTGAATTTCCTAAAGTTGTGCGGAAGCAAAACGGCAAAAAGCATATTAAATTAGTCACTAAAAAGCTAGTTAACAAAAGCTCTAATAAGCAAGCAAATATTAAACAAAAAGAGCCAATTGGGAAGAACAACACAAGCTACAGGTGAACTGAACTGAATAAGACCAAGATTATTTTTCTCACAGAATTAATTAATGCTCCTGGCAAAATACAAGATAGCAGACTGTTTCTTCAGAGTACAGCTAACACAATGCAACGCTGAAATCCACCAGATCGAGCTCAACACCAACACCTAGTGATTGCGTACAAATGACGTGATGGTGCTTGAAAGATCAAGTCATGTCAGTGAGACAAACTGTCATGCAAAAACAAAACTCAAAAGAACTGTACTGTAGCTGGACAAAGACGTTTCACAAGCTAGAAAACTCAAATCCAACGTTTAGCTTGAGAGGTACTGCTAAAACACCAAACACGCATTTGAGACACTTAAGGGCCGTTCGGCTGGTTGAAATTTCAGCCGGAATTCACTGTTCACGGCTGAAATTCACTGTTCACGGCTGAAATTCACTGTTTACACTCTTACAAGTTCCTCCAGATTTCTTCAAATTCCTCCAAGCGAACAGGGCCGTAGTAGCAAGCACGAGAAACTAAACGAGCTTCAAATCTGAACTGACAAAACCAAGAGAAGAGGCACCAGAAGGATCAGTGCTGATAGAGTCCAAGCACCGGAAAAGAAAAGCTACAGACCATCTGAAAGTACCGAAACCGGTTACTGCTTCTGAACTGAAAAAGAAAGACGGATTCTCTGAGCTGAATTGGTGAAGCTACAGAGGGCATTGCTGAATGCCAGCTGCTGCCGCCGTTACGATAGAACTGAGAAGAAAAGCAGCTAGCAAATAAGAGAAATGGCACAGATTTATCAGCATGGACAGATAACTAAGAACTAACTGATTTTAGCACATAACAATTGGACATCAGTGACAAATAAACAGTACCATGTATTTGTACATAAAAGAAACTGAAGGAGCACAAGAGTGATGAACCTTACTATATATCTACTCAAAAGCCAAATCACTACTAGCAGAAAACAGAGGACTAGTGAGACAAACATGAGCTGAAACTGAACCATGTCTGTGTACTAAACTGAAAAATGAACGGATCTCAGCTACCGCCCACCAACATCCAGCCCCAATTCCAATTTCCCTTCCACGGCAGCAGCCTCCCGCCATACCCACACCACCCACCCCCAACCCGGTAACCATGGCCGAAAGCCGTCGCCGCCCTCCCTGGTGCCCCTCCTCACGGCGGCCACGACCAACCCGATGACGTCACGCCTGAACGCGCTGTCGCTCGTCCATGCCGCCCCTGATGGCGGGGACGCCAGCAGTGCCACGCGGAACACGTCGAGCCGCGAGCTGTGCTCGGCGTGGAAACGGAGGCAGTGATTCACCGTGGCCGCGGCCCCGCCGACGGCTGGCCGCGGGCGAAGTCTCGGTCCATGAGGTCGAGCACCGGGGAGGCAGCCAGCGCGACCCCCGCGCTCCCAACCACAAACACAACCTCATTCAGATCTTCTCCTATACATCAACATACCGCCGCAAAAAAAAACTGCCTGCCGCCCCAAAACACACAAAGCCCTAGCATCGATGAAAATAAAACACAAAGAGAGAGGGCAGGGGGACTTAGCTCGCCGAAACCTAAAAATCGCTGGTCGCCGCGCTGGCGGGTGGCGAGTCGCCTCGACTCGACTAGAGGAAGACGAAACGAAATGGAAATGGGGAAAGGGAGAAACGGACGCGATAAAATCAAACGCCAGTCCAAAAAAAAAATCAAAACAGTAACGCATACAAACTGAGCCCACATGTCACTGCCACAAAAACAAGCACAGGCGCAGACACGAACGGAGGGGGATCGAGAAGAAAACAAACAGAGATCGCACGCTCCAAAAGAACACGTGACAACATCGACGGCCACGAAAACGGTTACTGCAAATACACGAAACAACCGGGCAACATATAGAAATTCTCAAAAGAAAACGGCATCTATCGGGCTCGCCTCCCGCTTCCGCAGTTGAGCTACGTCCTCGCGCATGCCGCCGCCACCGCCATCGCCGTTGGCCACCTCCGCCGCGTCCCCCTAACCGCCTTCTTCCTCGCCGAGATCCGCAGGTGCCGCCAACCTCTCCTGCCACCCGCAGCGCAGCAACACCGCCGCTTCGCAGCGCCCACCACACGCACAGAAGGCCATCGTAGCGACTCCACTGCTAAGCTCTGCGGTGCAGCCCCAAGGCCTCACTGCCTCAGGCACGGGCTTGTTCCTCCTCGCTCGGAACTTGAATCCGGCGATCCAGAGCCCGGCGGCAGAGAATCGAGCGGCGTAGCCATGGCCCCGCCCGCCCGCACGCATTGGCAGAGACGATGGAACGACGTGTGGTGCCGTCTCAGCAGCAACGGCTTCACCGGCTCCGGCTAGAATATGGGCCATGAGCCGACGTGCCCTGTTGGCTTCGCTAAAAAGACAGGCCGAGAAAAATACTGTTCTGGCTAAATTTTTTTTGAAAAAGACGGATCATCAGGGCACTGACAAGTCAGACGGACGAGTGACGATTCAAGCAATGAAGCAGCATGAGTTGGTGTTTCTTTCTTTCACTCGTCGACTCTCTCGTCTCTTCTGCTCTGGTTTCTCGAATGCTCCGATTCACGATTCTTCCGTCTGTTTGTTGATGAGAGAATGTGTTTCTGCTATGTAATTCTTCAAATTTTCAGTTCCAAACTTCGAGATCCAATTTCAATTCCAAGATCCAAGTTGATGTTAACGTTGCTTTTGCTCTCTCTCTCTCTCTCTCTCTCTGTTGATATTCGGATGGCAGTTTCAGAACACCTACAAGCATTTCAATATATACCCAAACACCTTTTTCCAGGGGTGTAAAATTCATTTGCATTCCAAGGGTTTACTTGTGCACAACAAATTACAGTTGTATTGCATTTACAGGTGCATATAATTTCTAAACACCCAAACAGGGCCTAAGTCTTGCTAGTTTTTGAGTAGGCTCTTTTGTTTTGCCCCAGCCCCCGTATACATACCCAATGGCAGGGCAAGAGGGCCCACGACCACGAATTGGCGCATGCAACAGCGCAGGTTGAGGTAGCTGCACACTTGCACAGCAGAGACAGCACAGCCGGAACCAAAGCAAAACCAGGTTGAGGTGGTACGTAGCAGGGGCACCGACGCATGCACCGTGTCATGTATGGCCATTGCGTTTGCATGCATGCTTGGTCATGATCATGCATAATCACCACGCACAGTGGCAGTGCTGTAGCTAGCTAGTAGTAGGTGTAGGCAGTAGTGCAGTGTGGCAGGCCTTTCCCTTTGGAAGACTACTACTGTAGGACAGAACGTACGTACGACGATGGTGCAAGGCGCGCGCTAAGCGAACGCTCAGAGTCACGGGCTCGGCCGTGGCCGGCCAACGCCCAAACATCTCATATCTATCGTCCATCTCCCATGCATGATGCATGGACGGATCTGATGGACTGACCCCATCATCCAGGCGTATATAACTATATATACCATCATTCATGCAACCGGCGCGCCTGCATGAATGCACAAACCAACGTATATATTCCTATGATTTTCAGAGTACACAATGCAATGCAAAATGTACTCATAATGCCAGTACCGGACTCCCGGTGAGAGTTTCATTACATCCGACCCATTGGGCCTTTTGGTCTCTGATTGTCTACTTTTGCCATCGAACTTTTTTTTTCTTTGCTTTGTTTGATTTTTATAGAACGCCAAGCTTTCGTACTCCCTCCCTCCGTTGCAAAAAGAATGCAAAGTTTGTTTATGACTTAAATAGTTTTAAGTTTATTAGCAAATCTTTAAAAAATAATAACACCTAGTATTTAATAAAAAAGAAAAGGAGAAAAATGGATGTTGAAACGGGTACGCGACATTAATCAATCAAACTCGCGGCTTCCATCTGCAAATCAATAAAGCATCCAACCACGCAGGCAGTAGTACTAACTGGAGTGTACAAGGCAAATTAGGTAGTACTCCGATCTTACTGGCTAATTGAGCTGAAACCCCCATCTGAAGTGGATGATGACGCGCGGGCACGGCGACGGGACTTGGTGTTCACTGCCGGTGCAGGAGGGAGTGATGAGCCATTCCAAGGCGCCGAAGATCAGCAGGCAGCAGCAGAATTCGAAGAAGAAGCACACCGTCTCCGCCACCTGGTTGCGACGAGTGCGAGACACGACCGCCGCAGCCGCCGTCGCACGCACCTCCTTGGCCAACTCCTCCGCCGCCTCCTGGTTGATGCTGCGGATGCGAGCGACGGCCGCCGCCTCCTGAGTTGTTGGAATATCCGCCGCAACGATCTACGGAGTAGTGTTATACTCCATATTAGTATCAGCGAAGTAAGTAATAATAATAAGCCCACACAACACCGTACGTACGTACGTACCTCTTGCTCGTTCTCCTCCACGGCCACATCGGCGACCAAGACGTTGATGTCCTCCTCGCCGTCGCCGGTGCGGTTACTACCCACGAGAGCCCCGTGCCCCTCCTCCTTCATGTCCATCAGGCTACCTTAGCTCTCTACAGGGCCGGGTCGTCGGAAATCAGCGTTCGCGTATGTTTGATTCAGTACAGCAAATTAGAAAAATTCCACTTCAAAGAAGAAATCAACAAAAAAAACATGGTTCACGTATCCTCGGTACAGTATCAAGAGAAAGAAGTAAATTAATCCACATTGATGTTTAATATTGCAGATACAAGTGACGTGCTTCCAACATATTTAAATAAATTAAGTAATCTAATTCCCGATATAAAAAGCATATTACTCAGAGAAAAGCCATATAAAAATGTGATATAAAAAGCACAGTACGTATTCCAAAGCTTGTATAGAATAAATACAGCTACTCAAGCTCATATCAACATTAAACATGGCATGAAGATGAAGAAGACGGATTAACAACATAAACATATTTGTTTATTTATATTTGCTCTCAAATCAGTGGTTTGCTACACGAGGCAGCCTTCCAACGCTGGTTGGTGATCTATCCTAGTCTAACGAGACGGTCCTCCTTAACAAATTACAGGATTCTTAGATCAAAAATTAAATGCCTAGAAAGACAGCAATATAGCCGAGTACCAGGTTACTGAAGTTTATATAGTGCAGTAAAGAAATATTAGAAGTAACATAGGTTATATGTTCACAGGTTTAGTAATCAGGTCAACCGTAAGTAATAAGACAATGCTAAAAATAATCAACACTCTAAAACCCTTGACGCTGAGGGCAAGCCGTGAAAGGCTTCGCCTTACCTTCAGGAAACCATGTGAGGGCAAGCCGTGGTGGCCGCGTGCGGCGTGGCGGGCCACGTCGTGTCCATGTGCAGGACCAGGACCGCGGGGGCGGCGGGTTAGACGCTGGGTTTCGGTGGTGCGGCGGCTGGTCACGCGCAGCCTGTGGCCGGGTCTTCCTCACCGGCAGGCGATGTCAAGGAAGGGTAGAGCAGCGTGGTGGTGGTCGTCCGCAGGCGGCTGTGCGGGTGGACTGTGCAAAGCAGCGGCCAAGCTGCTGCCGTGCGGTGCAGGTGCGCCGCGGGTGCGTGATGCTCCCGCGAGCGTCAAGCCGCGGCGGTTGCAAAACGGGACCGAGACCGCGGCGTGAACGCACGGAGGGTGTGGCGGCCAGTGGCGGCGGAATGCCGTGTTGTGCACGTGTTTCCTTCGCGTGAGGTGCTCGGGCGTGGGCGACCGACGGCCGCGACTCTGCGCCAAGGCCGAGGAAACGGCTCGAAGGCCGAGCAGACATGGATACGGAGCAAAGTACGGGGAAAGGTTGGGCCTTTTGGGGGTGCTCACCGGTGGGCTCGTCGGCGGCGGGTCGCGCGGCGCAGGGAGGGCTCGGTGCAGCCGGAACACGACGCCGACGGCTTGGCGGCTCGGATCAGCGCGGCTTCGCTCCGGGTCCGAGGTTCCGTGGCGACTCCTGGTGGGCTGGCTCGGCGTCGCGGACGGGGTTGGCGTCGCGGTCGTCGCCGTGCCGCTCTGTGTCACGGCGTGGCTGGCGTCCGGTGCTTACGGCGCGGTGCTGTACGCCGGTGCAGCGTCGAGGTGACCTGCAGGCGGGGGACGGCTCAGTGCAGTCGCGAACTTGAGAAGGCAGCAGAGCGATGATGAAGGAAAAGAGGCGTCTTTGGGCCGGCTGGTGCTCACCGAGGGCTTAGCGCGGCGCAGGCCGGGTGAGGAGGTGTCGGCGTCGCGGCTGCGGCGAGGCTTGGTGACGAGCGGGGACGTGGCCGAGGCTCGGAGGTAGACGCGCGGCGGACGCGAGGCACCGCGGCCGTGCCTTGCCGCGGCGACGCCGGCGCCCCTTCGGCGGGCCAGAGGGCGTCGCCGATGCGGTGCAGTCTGTGCATGCTCAAGCAGGGGGCGTCGGGTGGTGCTGCACTAGCGCACTGTCACAGTGCCGATGCGGGCAAGCGGCGGCGCGAGGCTTCCTGCCTGCCTGGAGCCAGCCGGCTTCAGTCACGGCGTTAGGCCATCAGCCCCTCACACGTCTGCTGCCCGCCATGGAGAGGAGGAGGGGAAAGCGGAAGCCGGTCGCGACTCGCGCGGACAGGAGCGGAGGCCTGATCGAGGCGGACTGGCGGAGTAGACGCGCGTCGCAGTCCGGAGGCGCCAGGCGACGGAGGTAGCAGGGACGTGCGACGGGGGCACGGGGCGTGGTAGCGACTCGCGAATCCTGGGCTTGGCGGCGCGGGCGCTCGGGACGGGGTGGGGCACGGGTGCTCGGAAGGGGCTTGGAGACTTGGAGTTACTTTTGGGTAGGTAGTAGGTAAAGTTAAATGTGCCTTTAAGACACGTGCATCGCCTCCGCCATTGGATTCGCATTGCTAGTAGGCCAGGTGTGGGCAGGCATGTGCACGCACTAGTGTAGCAAAGGTGAGCTAGCTAGCAAGGCCAAGGAGGCCCTGCCCCTGCGGCAGGGATGAGCTTCCATTCTCAGGTAAGCTCGCATCACTCCGATCCACCCACCCAGGCCACCTCTACTGAAACTCAAACTGATCGAAAGCCATCCACGGGTATGCATGCCTGACTCACGAGAGGGCATGCAGAGGCGGCCTGGCCCCACGACGCCATATGCATGCATGTCGTGTCGATCCATCATTCCATTCATCTTGGATCGTATCGTTGGATGCAATGCAATGCAAGCAGCTATGTACGTTGCAGGATCGCTCTCCACGCCGCCGCGGAAGAAAGTTGACCCGACCCCCTCACGGTCACGGTGGTCACGGATGCACGAGCACCATCACCGTCCGCGTCCGGGTATGCGGCGTTCACCTCCTGCGATTTGTTGTCGCGCCACGTGTCGTCTCTTGCATGCATGCATGCATATACGATGGGTTAGTCCGCATGGGAATGGGAGAGTGGTCGCACTCGCACCACGCACCCGACTTGTCCACCAAATTTCCTTCTCGCATGCGCTTAGACAGTTTCAACGGTGTATTGATGATGGTTTCTATTCTCATTAAATAACTTGCCACGTAGGTAAAACGTTGATATGGCAACGTAATTAATGAAGAAATAGAGCAAAAATCATAGAAATTGTTTCCTCATGAAGAAATCAGGTCTACTCTTGACCCAATACACCAAGAAACCATGAAATCGTCATTGGGGAGAAACCACCAGTTTCTAGGGAGCTCGTGTCGTACTCCCATTGGAGGAAGAAGATAGAGTTAGGAGAGAGAAAGAGAAAATAATTATACTTTTTGGTGCGGTATTCTATGTTATAGAAACTACTAGTTTCTTTCATTGGTACTGCCCTTAGCTGCTGCTAGAGTGCTGGTCCACATCCATCACCATCCATGCATATGTGTATTTTTAGGGTAGACTTAATGGTGTATTTATTGTAGTTTTTATCTCTATTAATTGTCATGTCAACTAAGCAATTTTCTAATGTGACAGTAGATTTATTATGGAGAAAGAAGAAAAAAAAAGAGAGAAACCGTTTCATGGAGAGGAAACCGAGTCCTCACGCGCACCGATGGGCAATAAACCAGCGAATCTGCGTTGGGGAGACCCAAGTCGTTTCTTCTTAGGGCCTGTTTGGCAGGGATTCACCAGCTCCAGATTCACTATTTTCAGCTCCACTCCACCAAAAATTTCCCAAACATCCTAGATCCACCAAATTCAAATCCACCAAAACGTTGGATCTAGAGACCAGATTCATCAAATTGGTGGAGCTCCTCGGGGTGCTCCACGAATAGGTGTTTCAGATCCCCTCGTGAAGTTGGATAAAATTACCCACCTTTGCCACTAGTTACACACCCTTATCCTTACCGGTTCGATTATTTCCTTTCTTCCCCACCTCACTGGATACGACGCCCTTCTACTCGCGCCTCGCGTCCTCCTCTTCCGTCGCGGCAGGGGAGGCGCGCGCCCATCCATCCCTCCCTCCATCCCTCCGTGAGCCCTCCATGGCCGGATTCGGTGATCCGGTCTGCTCGACCTCCCGCACCTCCTTCTTCGTCCACATCCATGGGAAAGACCACACCTAGGGTTGGGCTCTCTCGTCAGGTACAGGGCGCGGCCACCGGAGCTCCTCTTCCCGGCGTCGCGGACATGCCCCCTTTGGCCGGCCTTCAACCCGCCCGGATCGCCGGCGTTGACCCCGCCATGGCGGCGGCGCGTCAGAGCGGGCAAAGGCGGCCTCGGACCGCCATGGACAGGCGTTCAGTAAAGGAGCGGCGGCCTCCAGACCGCCGCCATGGCGCTCAGGCGGCGCCAGGTCAGGCGGCCTCCAGACCGCCATGGACGTCGCCCACCAACATGCCTTGGCTGCCCAACAAGCCTTCTGGCGGCCATGACCTCTCGACCGCGGCGGTTCACCGGGTGACTGACCGGGCAGCATGGGGTGTGGTGGCTTGGTCAGCGAGCGGTAGTTCATCGCAAAGAAGAATCGAGAGGACGCGGCTCCGTCGACCAACAAGAGGGCAAAAGAAGATGAGGTATAAATTTGTCTTTCAATTTTGTGCAACAATTGTACAAAGTCTTTGGGAAATCTTGATTTGGGTGATCAAATACTTGTGGGAAATTAATGTCGGGGTGATGCTATGGATTTGGGTGATGGTTATACCGCAATTGTTTGTAAGTTTTTGCCGAGCAAGTTAGAAAAGGAAATCGGCCGAACACACATTTGAACAATGTAGGCTTTTATCGAGGTATCTCGATAGGTTTTTTCATCCACCGGAATAATGTTGAGTAAAATGCAACTAAAGAACAAATGGGACAAGTTGAGAAGGGATTATGGTGCTTGGAGGAAATTAATGAGGAAGCAAACAGGGGTTGGGTTCAATTGGAATACTGAAGCATCAACATGGATCCCGAGTGGTGGAAGAAGATAACAAAGGTCAGTTTTATTTGTTATGCTATGTACATTTTATTTCTGCAACTTAGAAATTTATGTGTGTGTGTGGGGCATTATCTACTGCTTCAAGGAACAATAGCAGCTTGAACTAAATGCATGAGTAAAATAGAGAACAAAACCACAGATAACAAAATGTCCTGTGAAAA